TTGAGTTTCCTTAGGAACGGGAAACAAGAGGGAGCAACTTTATTCATCTCCAAGATCATATCTAGAGGTTAATTACCAAAATGGGGTTATGGGGTAAGTATTGACAATATTTAGTTTATGATATTGAAAAGATTGTCGAAATTCATTTGAGATTCAAAGAACGCGTCTATTAAAACTTATGTAATAAATTTCCTCTTGAATTTATAGTTGCTAAGAAATCCCGAAGCCTACATTATTGAAGAATCCATAATCAATCCAAAAACCCAAACAATGATTACGCTCACGAAAAATATAACACATGCTCGTGTCATGCAAGTAGAAGAATGGCAGACTTTTCGAGTTGATCCCAACAATCGTGAATTTACTCAGGTGAAAACAGAAGCCAAATTTATTAGTAATTTTGGCTGGGGTTTAACCGAACGACTTGAAGGTTTTGGGGTGAAGAAGTTTAATGACAGCTCTTTAAAGGTAAGTGAGCTATTATTGACTACAATAGGATCCCAAGATGATAAGTGTTCATAATTTTAATGGCGTTTATCCTCAGAGTCGAAAAGGGATGTCCTATATCCTAGAAAAGATTCGTGAGAAACAATTGTTGCGTGGTCGCGGATTCATAACCGCTTAATTTTCATCTTCAATATATGAAACTTGTAGATATTTAAAAAAACACATTAACATCAGCACCTTCATTTCAACATAAATAGTAGTTCGGGTAACTCTGCGTAAATTCAATGACTATATACTCAAGAGAAGCTATAGGCTATTGGTTTTTACAAATTGCTTTTTCAGATTATAATTCTTATGTAAAATAAATGAAATTAAATTGTTTAAAAATGTGAGATGTTCCTCTCACCTAATATTCTGATTCATTTCTCATTGCTCTAATAAGTATATACGGTATAAGCAAATAAATATCATCATTTTATTATTTGTAAAAATGTAAATAATTTTATATTTAAAGAAAGCGGCAATTTTTTTTATGTAACCAATTGATTAATAAGTTTAATATTAGTTTGTCTATAATAAACTACCTAAGCAGTAGAAAAAAATTAATATTAAATTAATATACAGTATATCAAAATTAATACTAGTAGCTATAAATATTTACTTGAAATTTTATATAATAAAACTTTAAAAAAATATAAATATTAAATGATAAGAAAATCTAATTATAATATAAAGGATATTTAGAATACAAAAATATCTAAACATGTCATTTTAATAATTTTACTCTTCTTAAATATAATAATATTTTCTGAAATAAACAGATTATTATTTAAAAATATATACTGTAATAGTATTTTATATGTTTTTATATTATTATAAAAAAAAATTTAATTAATAATATAATTTTGAATTAAATATAATTTCTAATTATTTTATTATATATTACTTAGTAATTTTATTATAATATAATTTTTGAAAAATATTTGAATTCAATTTCATCTTATATATAATAATGTTAATAATATGTTTTTTTAATAATTAATTAAATATAAAAATTATAATTAATAAAATAGTAATAAT